AAATTTAGTAAATTGTTGATACTTACTTAATTTTACTAATAATAAAAACACTTTGAATAAAAATGATGATTTTGTAAATAATTATAATGAATAAATTACAATTTGTTTTTTTTCCATTAAACAAAAATATTACCTTCTCTTCATCACTTGATCTTTTGGTATTTTTTAATTTCAACGAACACTTTTATTTAGATTGTAAATTATTATCAATAGACTGAAGTAATTGTTCGCATATAAATAAGAAAAAGTGTCCTTTCTAAGTAATTATTCGCTATACGTATATATATATATATTAATTTCATAATAAATTAACGTCTTATTAAATATACATTAATTAATTACGAAGTATTTCAATACATTAGATCGAACTAAAAATAAACTTATTCTGAAACATATTAAATTATTAGTTAGTATTGATTTAATAATGTAGAAAATTCAAAATAAAATTTTAATTTATTCGAGTTTCATTAATCCATAATAGTTATTTTGATATTTCATACTAGTTTTTTTTACTACGTTTAACATTTGAAAAATATAATTTTTAATTTAGTTAATCAAGAGACTGAAAATAATGATTTAGTTGTTTAATTTACTAAAATAAGTAAATTTTAATTAATTGTTTAATTAGAACGTGACACTAGATCAACATTTTAATAATTTGTTTTTAAATGCTTTACTTCAATTATTAAGTAAAAAGCCGAGATAAAATAATTGTAGTAACATTTTATAGTCTATGGAATTCTTATTTTATAAAGTCTTCGTTATAAATTCACGCCCTATATCATTTAAGTAAGTACACGAAATCAATTATGTAATTTTTTAGATGTTAAAATAATTTAATTTATTTAATTTTTGAATCAAGTTTAATTTTCATTTAACTCAATATAAACTAATAACGAATGAATAATTTTATTTTTAAGTAAATATAGTTACTATTTGTAAATGTAGCAAATATAACATAAGATTTCTATTGAGATATAAGTGAAAAAAAGTACATTTATATAAATAGCGATTTCAAAATTAGTTTTGTTTTAAATTTGAGATATATTTTTAAACTCCTAGTGAAACGAAAAATTCAACTAAAAATAAATTTAAAATATAATGGAAAAACTACTTTGTTATAATTCTATCGAACCAATTAGTTACAACAATAATTGAAATTCGTTAAAAATTATATAATAATTATTTGGTATTATAAAAAGATGTATGTGTTATTTAAATTTATGTTGATTTTGACAAGCGTCCTTGTCTGTCTGTTGAAAACTGTAAAAAAAAAAAAATTATTTCATTTGTACTTTTATATATTTAGAGTGCATATTTGAAATAACTATGTATACTTAGTCGTATATTCTACTTTTGTGTTAAATTTTACTGAAATAAAAGTTCGGTTTTGACGATAGCTTTTGATATGTATCGTCGATAATGTCATTATCATGTTGGAACACTGTTCATCTCATCAAAATTGCAATTGCGGTAAACGAAGTGCATCGGCCATTGGAAAGTTGATCAACATATTTGGTCGTAGAAAAATCTATCAGGTTCAAAAAGCTCAACAGCTCAATAAATTATCAACTGAACTGGATGAGGTATAGATTTTCAAATTTATTTGAAATAATATATTTTAAATGTCACATTTTTAAATTGTAAATAAATATCACTTCTTAAATATGTTTTATTAAAACTAGAACTTCCCGATAGATCCCTATTCATAATCATACAAATACCTATATTAATACAAATAAAAAAAAAAAAATGATTATATGCATTTAATCAGAATCGAGGAATATTCGTTATCCCGTAACCATACATTTCGACTGTATAACTCAACAAATGATAATAATAATATAAAACCTGGTATAAAACATATATTTCATTTTTATTTTATTATAAACTATATGTACATTTTTACATTATTAAATACGATATTTTTCCAATATTACTTTATTACAAACATAATTTTTTAACTGTTCCGAAAATAAATTTAATTAATACCTACTTTTATTTTAAGTTTTTCAATGATAAGAGTACATATATTATTTTTTCCCTAACTAAATTATAAAAATAAAGATTTCTGATAAAATCAACTAATTGTGGGAACCGCAAATCATAAAATTAAATCGTTTAGAACCTGTCATCTTGCAATAATTATTTAAACATCCTTTATGTTTAAGTTTCAATTTATATGCATGTTAATAGTTTAATATATTATAATTTTACAAGATGCAAGATTAAATGATTTCATTGTGCTACTTAAAACATGTATCAAAATAAAATATTTTTATGATATAAATTTACATTTTTATTTAAAAATAAATGAAAAAACTTTTTATAGAAATTATTTTAATAAAAAAAATAACTAACAAAACTTCAGTTTTACGAACGAGATCTTAGTAGAGGATTATGTTTATTTTGTGTTGCTGACAGATATCTAGGTTATCTGTGAAAGAACGAAAATGCGTTTCATCAAATACATATCATGCACGTCAAAAATAATTTATACTGAATACATACGCATGTATACCAATGTACGCATCAAATATATTGATATGCTCTAATTTTTTTTAAATACCTAACAATACTGTTGTCGTATTTGCAGTTGGCAGTTTGGTTGGGTCTGCTTTAATGTAATTTTATTATCCATTCTTTGTTTGATATTTTTTATAATTGGAAGTAAACTATTGTTCAAGTGTAAGTACAGTATAATATTGAAAATAAGTTTTATACTAGTTTATTAAATAGTATTATGAATAGGCAATAGTAGAGATCATTGGTACATCAGTTTTATACAAATAAAATTATGTTTGTTCGGCAGAAATGCTTTTCATCTCGTTATAAAGATTTCAATTCACCCAATGTGTTTGTATGATTTTAAGCATGAACAATGTCTTTCTCTGTTGCTTTTGGAGTTTATTTTAACCAGATTTGATTGTATTTTGTTTATATTTTTTTTATTCATTATCAATACTGCTGCGATAGTTATAATTTTTAACCATACATTTTTTTTAAGCTTAAAAAAATATATTTTAGTTTGTTTTTAAATTTGAAATAGTGTCTATTGATTTGTATAAACTTCATCACTTATTTGTGATGGATTTGCTACAAAAAAAAAAGGTAGTAAAAAGCCATGTATATATATCGGATAATATAACATATTGGTCATATAACAATAATAATAACAATAATTAGTTTTTATATTTTATTATTCCTCCAAGATTTTAGATTCTTTTTAACCATGGTGTAAGACATTTAAACATTCAAGGAAATACTGCAATTTCGTACTGTTTCTTTAACAGATAAAGTCAATTTCGCGTATTAAAATGTTAAATGGATTTTAATTGTCTAATAATAATAGTACTAATAGCAATAAATGTAATAGGTAGCTAGTGTATATTATACCTTATAATTTTACTCAATTATATCAGTTTACCTTTACATTTAACGAATATACTTATATTATTTTTATAACTTTATTAATAATAGGTAATTATTTTATTATGAACTAATTTATTACATTATTTATTTTAGTAAAATATTTATAATATAGTTATGTTATATTATATGTGTATATTACATAGTTAATATAATCATTATTAAAACATTTTTTTAAAGTATTGTTTAACACATTTTATTAAATCTTCATAGATAGACAAACGAAGTATTTTACTTTTGAATGACACAAAATAATTGTTTTTTTTAATAACACGAATTATGTAGATAAATTATTTATTTTATATCCAATACAATATAAAACAAGAATTCGAATACCATAAGCTTGTATGTGAGTGATAACAAATGTAATTAAATTATGATATTTTATGTATATACGAGTATGTTAAACTGACTGTAAATCACAATGAATTCGGCATTGTTTAATCTTTCATAAACTTGGAAATTATTTTATTTCGTTCTTATGTTTAATCGCTTTTAGTAAATGATCATTGTTTGTAGGATTTTACCTTGTATCATCCAGTTTATATCTGTATTATAATTATCTACTAGGTATTGTGTAACTTGAATATTTATACGGTTTAATACGAAAAAATATTTTCTCTTGTTTCTAATTTTCAAATAGTTTTACTTAATCAATTATTATGCTAATTATCAACACATTTTCAGTGATACGATGTACCTTATAGCAGTCAACCAAAACTATTAAATCGTGCTTGTAATATAAACAATTTTCTTATTATATAAACGTGTTTAGTTATTATTAAAAAATAGCAACAAAAAAAAAATTGGTCATTTATCAAGGGTTAAATTTTAAACTATATTATAAGTAATATATAAATATTAATGTGTTTTAAAACTACTTGGAGTTAATCAATTATATAATTACTAGTTATAGTAATAAATATAGACCATATAATTATATTATATTAAACTTAAAAAGTAAATCTACAACATTTAAGAAGGAGTTATTCGAAATTCATGTTTTTAAAACATAAATTTCTGATTTATTTCATAACCATTTTTGTTCTTAATTTTTAGGAATTAAGAATTTGATGTATATTAACACAAACTATATTATTCTTTAAGCATTAAGTATTAAACAGGAATTTATATTGACTGTTATATCGACATCTATTAAAAAGTGCTTAAGTACAATGATATTGATATAGTGTTATTTTTTTTTTTAAAGTGTTATGACAGCAGGTCATATATTAGTGAATAGACATAAATTACATATATTCTGATATAGTTATGATATTACTTTTGAAACAATAGTACTTAGACTGAACTCATATTACTAATTTTATTGAAAATACACTACATTAATATACAGTATATATATACTAATTCATTAATAATACGTAATACAATTATGCACAAGTATATGTGTCTAATGTAAATTTAATTTTTTTAAAAATACAAAGTATTATAATTTTATTTTTGGTAGTAAAATATGATTCATCATCATCATATAACCTTATGTCTTATTATAAATATTTATTTATTGTAATTATTTCATTCATTATAAAATCTGTGATTTTATATTATAGAGTTCAAATTCGTGGGTAACCGTTCACAGTTTGCAATCTCAGAGTGATGGTGGAATTTTGGACCCGGATGATCGTCTCAGAGATGTTGCAGATGACAGAGAACAAATTATTGCCCTCTATGATGACGGTGATAGCAATAGCCCACACCAACATGGAGGTGGTGATGGGGCAAGTGCTACCTCTAGTCCAGATATTTTTAATGTAGGAAACTCAATATATATCAAACTATAAATTAGCATTTGCTTCATAAATTAAATATTATTTATTTTGTTAATTTTAGTCTGGGTTTAATTATATTTGTTACTGAATTAATTTATAAACTATTTATATATTATTAGGGCCGAGATGGTCTACATACTGACATTGAAGTTACTAATGAACAAATTGCTAGTGGTTTACCAGCTTTACATGTCCGAAGAGGCAGTGAGCCTGCTCTTAATCAGTTACCGCTTGAATGTCGTAAGTATACTTCATGCAACATTACTTTTTAAATTATTTTATTTAATTAAATAACAATATATTTAATTTTTTATTTCATCATTATTTTTCAATATAGCTAATAATTTGGGAAAAAGAAATTGCAATACAAGGCCTGCTGCATCTGGTCAGTCTAAACGATGGTCGGCAGCTCCAATGATTCATGACCCCAAAGAAAAACTTAGAACTGTAATGATTATAATATTATAATTTATTTTTAAATGTTATTTAAGTAATACAAAATTACTTTCACAATATTAAACTAATGAAAATATATTTTTAAAGAAAATATAAAATATTTATGATATATAACAATTAGACAAGATTAAATATTAATATTTTTCTATAGTTTATTTATAGTTTATAATATTCATTTTAAGCTTATGTTAACGTAATAAATAAAATAAAAAAATCAATTCATTATATTAAACAGTTTTTGTAGCTTAATATTGTTTGTAAGAGTATTTAGATTATACGTACAGCAAGTAATTGAAAATGTTTAATATCTTTGTGTAAAGATCTGCAATTTTAATTCTGTTTTTTAGTTGGTTGTTATAACGTAAAAATACAAATTTCTATGTACTTTGAATTTTTTTTTAATTATAAGACCTAATGAAATAAACTACCTACTAATTTACATTTTTTCTACTATAGATTATAAATGAAACTAAATTAAAGTAAAAATTGATGGTAGTTAAAATTATAATTATATGTAAATATTAACTTAATAAATAGGGATGAAAATCAAATCTAAATAATCCTGAAATAACTATTTTTAGAGTTACAGTCAAAAATTTGAAAATAGTGCTCAATGTACCGTTTTTTAGTCTTCAAATTACTGTAAGTTGGTTAAATTATCAAAACTCATTAAAAAACTAAGAACAAATAATTAGTGGTTAATATAGGTGTTTGCCATTTAAGAAAAAAAAAGTTGTAATGCGCATGCGCTTGTCTAATTAAGTTAAAAAAAAATTAATGTACATAGATATGTGTATTTTTATGTTATAACAACCAACTAAAAATCGCAGGTCTTTTACGCAAATATATTAATTGTAGTCTATTTGCAATTACAGACTGTATATTATAACACATTGTTTTTATTTAAGGATGATTATATGAAAATCAATGGTTTTGGTTTATCTAACAAATGGCGTTGTTCAGAAGAAGATGAAGATGAGTTAGAATTAGGTGAAGAGGATAAAGCACCAGTTACCAATCATTTTTTGGCTCAAACATTTCATCGTGATTCTTCAAACCGTTTATCAATGCAATTCTTAGGAGAATCATCTAGGTTTGTTGTTTTAAATTTTTTTTAAATTAAATTAATTTTAAACATTTCTAAATGTTCTGTTTTTTATTTGTAGTGGTTTTCGATGGGCTGAAGCTGCTGATTTAGCAAATAATCGAGCATTATCATTATCATTACCAAGGGATCATAGAAGAAAAGAACCTTTGGGTCAAGCAAATACAAATCCTCCTAATCATTTACCAGAATCACAAAAGTATGAAATTAAATTATCACATTGATTTAGTTCAAATACTGCAGTAATATTTAATAATATAGTAATTAAATATAATTTTTAAATTTTATATTTGTTAGTACTGATTATATAGTGTTGAGCACTGGTGGTGGTTCACTAGGCATTCATGTTGTCCCAGATTATAATGCTCTGGGAAAAGAACGTGGTCTTTTAGTTCAAGGCATTGAACCTGGCGGTCGCGTGCATTGTGATGGCAGATTGAAAGTATATGATCGAATTGTAGAAATCAATGGTCGATCATTGTTGGATCAGCCATTTAATGCGTATGTTTGAAGTATAATACCATCTAAAAATAAATTTTAGTAATGATTTTTCCCTTATAGCATACAAGAAATATTTCGAGATTCACTACATTCTTCTGAACTTAGACTTAAAGTTATAAAACATAAGAATAATGTGGATATTCAAACTAGTCAAAATACGGGGACCTTTAATAAAAAGCAGCCGCCACCACCAGTATTTCCTAAACCATCTACAAATACAAGTGTACCTTTCAGTAATAAAGAAAATGTCTCTGCTGGATCTTCTATTAAAGACAATAAATGTAATAATATAAGATTTCTTATTCAATTTAAATATTTTATTTACTATAACTTTTTCTGACAATAATTATTATGTTATAGTTAACTCAAATACTAAAATAGCTACAGTATCTCCAACTAAAAAAATAACAGCGCCAACACCTACAGCATCTAATATTTTAATGGTGGCCAATACAAGAAAAATAGGAAAGAAAATGGAATTAGAGCTTACCAAAGGATTTCATGGCCTTGGCTTTAGTATAACAACTAGGGATAATCCAGCTGGTGGAAATTGCCCTATTTATATAAAAAATGTGTTACCAAAAGTAATGATTTACAATTTATAAACCTAAAACTTGAATTAACTAAACTTAATGAGTTTGCAGGGAGCAGCTGTAGAAGATGGAAGACTAAAACCTGGAGACAGATTGTTAGCAGTTAACGGTACGGAATTGACTGGCAAAACTCAATCTGAAGCAGTTGCTGTATTAAGAAAAGTTCCTTCTGGTGCAAAAGTAAAAATTATTGTTTCTAGACAGGAAGATGTAATTAGTCAAGTAGTACCTAAGTCAAATCAAGTAAATTAATTTTAATTTTTTGCTATAATATACTATAAATCTTTATTTAATTTAATTTTTTTTATTAGGAACTGGATGAAAGTTTTGAACAAGAAGTAGGCACTTTACCTGAAAATCAAATAACAGAAATAAATGAAAAATCCAATAATAATACTGTTCAGGTAATTATATAAATAAAAATCTAATGTCTAAACTTTTAATTATACTTAAAACATTTTATTTGGTAGGAGTTTGTTAAGAGTTTAGAAGAAACACAAACATTTCCTTGGAGACATAAAGAAATATTAACATTTGACATTCCTGTTCATGATTCTGAAAAAGCTGGTTTGGGTAAATAACTTACTTTGTCGTTTAAATTACAATCAATATATTAATATATATTTATTTCTTAGGTATTAGTGTTAAAGGAAAAACTTCATCTACTAATAATTTAAATGATAAAGACACCGCTCAAGATTTAGGTATTTTTATCAAGAATGTAATACATGGCGGAGCAGCTTCAAGGTATTTAAAAATGTTACTGTATTTACATGATGTAAATTATTATTGAACTATATATGAATTTCAGGGATGGTAGATTACGGACTAATGATCAGCTATTATATATTAATGGTATTTCATTAATTGGTCAATCTAATGCAGCAGCTATGGAGACATTAAGGAGAACTATGATGAACGTAGATCCAGGTCCAGTGCCTGGTGCTATATCTTTGACTGTTGCTCGTCGACGTAATAGTTCTCCAAATTCGCATAGAAGACGTAGTCGTGATTCTTCTTCAAGTCTACTAACAGATTCTTCAGGTAACTAAATTATTTTTATTCTTGAGTAATGAACAGTGGGCACTCCTTTGAGTCTAAAACAAAAGTGGTTATCATAATTAGTATTTTTGAATATTATATGTATGTTTATGATATATTTTACATATAGCCAATACTGAAACATTTGGTCATGCTGAAAGCAGTGATAGCAGTGCTCAAAATACAGCGGAAAATTCTGGAACAAGTGAAAACTCTGATAATACTGTTATCTTTATGCATCAAAGACAAGGTTCAGAGAATTCAAAACGGACTACTTTATCTAAAGCTACTTCTCCAGGTTAATTTATTAAATTTTTCTAGAAATATTTGTCAAAATAACTATATATTTGATAATTTCAAACTTGTTTAATAACATTTATAACTATTGTATAATTCAAATGTATATTTAGATGGAATCGCAATTCGTAATCCAGTGTTAGAAAGGTTAACTGGACAAACTAATCGTTATAATGGATTGCGTAATGAAAGTTATTATAAGGTAAACTTAAAAAATATAAATATATTATTTTTTAAATTAAACTCAATTTATATTAATAACAGGCCACTCACCAAACTACAATTATGTTGAAAGAGGAAGAAAAATTGAATAGTCCCACCACTAATCAATCTTCTGATGAAATGTTAATTATTGAAGAAGACCCTCCAATTTATAATACTGTTAGGTAAGTTATTTAATTAATTTAAATAATAATAATTGATTTTCAACAATTATTTTTTGTGTATAGCAGGAAAAAAATAGAAGAAGAAAAACCAACATCAGTCATATCTCCACAACAAGCAAGAACTGGATCAACTAGTACAGATGTAACTTATGCTAGCCAGTATGTTTGCTCCATAAACTTTAAAATATTTTAAATATATAACTTACAGTATAGTATAATTTACAATAATTTAAATTGTGTTTTAGATTATCATTAGATAATGCTAATTCTGGGTTTTCAAGAGATGCTTTTGGACGTCAAAGTATGTCTGAAAAACGACATGCGACGTTGGATGCAAAAAATACTGATACTTATCAAAGGAATAAAAAATTACGTGAAGAGCGTGGAGATGATAACAAAAGTCGTAAGTAAAAGTTTAGTTTAATAATTTTACAATTTTTTTATTTTATATGAATTTGATTTTTCATATCTTTGTATTTCTATTTAGGTAACAGTTTTCCTTCAAAACAACAACTGGGACCATCACTTGGAATGAAAAAATCGTCTAGCTTAGAATCTTTACAAACAATGGTCCAAGAAGTACAAATGACAGATGGAGGAACAAAACGTGGCAATGTTAGAGTAGTCCGTGGTAGAGGATGTGATGAAAGTTTTAGAGCTGCTGTTGACAAAGATGGTCCATTATCCTTGCATGAACTGCGGTTGGAAACATGTTAGTTCATTAATTTATATGCTTTTATTATAGATAATATATTTAAATTAAATTTTATGCTTATGTTTTTTCACTTAACATTGATTATACAAGTACTAAGAAAAGAATAATGATTTTACTGATATAAACAAAATCGTTAACTATTATTGTATATTTTTTATTTAAAAAAATATACTTAGTGACTTATTGAAAAATGTTGTGATTGCAAACATTTTTACTAGGCATTACATTTTCAGATATTATTTGTTGATTTCATTTCAAACTTAATATATAGTTAATTGTAATATAATAACAGAAAAATAAACAAATTAATTTTTAAATTTTGTCTAAAAATCATCCATTGTTATGTTAGGTGGTGAAGAAAACAACTATCATCAAATTGGTCATCGACAATCTTCACTTCATTCTCAAATTAATTACAAAACCCCAAAGGCACATGTTACCAACAAAAAAAAACCAGGATTATTGAAAGGCATTGGTTCCATGTTTAGGTAAATATATAAGTTCAAAATATAATATAAAAGAACCTTAAAAGAAACTTATTTTCAACCAATTATTAATTAGGTACATAAAAAAAAAAAATGTTTTTAATATTACAGATTTGGTAAACCTCGACGTGGACCAGACTTAAATGGTACTTTAAGCTCAGAAGAAGATAATTTAGCAGATCGTGAACGAGAAATAGCAAGAAGAAATGCTCGCGATGAACAACTCAGAATACAAGAACAATACCAAAGATTAATGCAACGACAGGCAGAAATGGTATTTATGATTCTTTGATTTTGTCATATTTATTAAGAAAAAATTTCAAATTTTTTAGTTGGTAAAAATTGATTTAGTTAATTTTAAAAATTGAAGTTCTAACAGTGTTTTAATTGATTTTTGTTAATTTGATGATGATTGTATTTTAATTTTTATATATGACTATCATAAACATTGTCAACTGGATTCTAAACTACTTAAAACTGAATAAAAACATGAAAATAATTTAAATCTATTTTTATTAAATTAATCGTCATATTAAACATTTATTTGAACTGTAATATAGAATTTAAATCTATAACTATTAACTTATATTTAAGTGTTACATTTGTTACGTCTAAACAATAATATTTAATTGTATATATTTATTTTGTAGCAAGAACAAAATCAATGTCATGAAGTTGCTATAGATGATGGTTCTAGCAATTATTCTAATGTAGTAACTAAATTATCTAATCCTGAACAATCGCGTATGGATCGTATTCAACAGCTCAGAGCTGAACATCAAAGAAGACATATGGAACGCAGTGGGAAGTATGTTCCAGATGAAAGAGAGGAAAATCATTACGAATCTGATGTTCGTCAGGTATGTATCATATTCCATTTTTTGAATATATTATAATTATTTTTGTGATTATTTAGCCTAAAAATAACAGTCAAAATGCTATAAACCGCCCTGGTAGCCGTGTTGGTATAATTGATTCGTCTCGATTTAACCATTATGTCAATTTCCAAGAAATACAACAAAACCTTAGGTGAGATGTTATTTTGCTTAATTTGCATTTTTATGGTGATAAAGAGGTATATTTTCTTGCATGCTAATAAGGTAACAATGACGGTTAATAAACACTGAATAATTAAACCTCAAAATATTTATAATTATAAATTTATAGAATATTAAAAGGTTTAAACTTTATTTTTAATGTACTTCCAAATTAGATTCAAAATAAAGTTACATATTTAGTGAGCTAAAATAAATATGAGTAATATTTTAAATAATTACTTAATTGTTAAAAGAAATAAGCCCAATCCTCCTTAGGAATACATTTTCTACTTAATAAACATGTGTACAGTTGCACTAATATAATACAGAATTTTGTATTTTCATAATATAAAATAAACATTAGTTTATTGAGTATGGAGATAATTTTCTTAAAGAGTTTATAATGTATAGTTAAAATCCCTTTAAAGAAAAATGAACAAATATATATATAAATTATATTTCTAAAAAAAAAGTTACCTTGCTTGAAGTTCTAAAAATTTATATTCAGATTCTACGGCTAAAAAAACAAAAAAAAATTGCACCATGAGTTTATTACTGATTAAAACAATAATGAATTATGAAGGAAAAATTAATCTTTTTTTATACTTATTATACTAATTGAATATTATTCCTATGATCATATAATTTAGAGCTGCTTATATCAATATTGTTATATACTGCTAAGTTAAATACATATCTATTTTAACTTTATATTTTGTGTCACTCTAAGAAAATCCTAGAAATGTTCATTAACTGGTTGTGTTAATTTATTGCCGTTGTTACCTTATTATACACGTTTTAATTTGTACAATTTATGTGTCTATTATTTTCACTAAATTAAAAAAAAAAAAATCACAAAATATGAAAAAACATGTATTAAGATTTCTTAATGAAGTGCTTGGGTGGGCATTTAAAATACAGTGAATCATTATAATTACTCAATTAATACCTTTATTAAGCTCCATGAAACATTTTAATAAATTAAAATTATACTTTATTTTAGTAATGTTAAATATATTGAATGTTTATTTTTTAAAAAATTGTTGAACAAACTTCCTAGGTGTCTTAGGTGTCTCTTAATAAATAATACAGTAGTCACTCAATAATTCGAAATTCAGGGGACTGAGGTGTACATTTGATTTATAGTAGAGGTTTTCGATTTATATTTGATTAATATATATTTTATTTTACATATATATATATATATATATATATATATATATATATATATATATATATTATATATAATATGTTATTTAATAAATCTGTAATTTTTTTTTTTTTTGTGATACATTTTTGGCCACAATCTGGTACATATCGATTGTTTTAGTATAGTTCATAGCGTTGAAGCTTGGATACAAAAACTTAAGGCATTATTTTTTATTTTTCACTAGCTTTAACTGCCGCAATCACTTTTTTTTTTTTATCGGCAAACGACAAAAACTTGTATCCATTGTCAGACTACATTTTATTCGATTTCAACAACTATTTGCCTATTTCAGAGGTTTATTTTGGTAAATTAATATGATTAATGTGGAAAAATTCAATTAAATTAAACCGATATAAAGGTACGATCTCACTGCGCGAGGCACGTGATTCACCTGTGATTGCACTTGCCATGCCACGCGCGTACGTAATACATAAACCCACGACGCGTTTCCCGGGCGTTTATTATGAGTTTATTTCTAATTGCACCATATTTCTTTTGACCTGTGTCACAAATACTGTCATCGAGAAGGGACGAGTCGCGCCGTAGGATTTGCACCTTAATATAAACTTCGATTATATTTTATCGCCATTATTATTAGTTTGATTACGTCATTTACATACGTTATTTATGTATAACTTTTATTCACTATGATAGATTTATTTGAGCTTATACACCACATAGACATTTGAATTATGGAGGTTTTGGTGGGAAAAAAAATGATATGTAGTGTATCTCCCACCACTAGACATTTCGAATTATTGAGGGGACCGATGTACGTGTATTTTCTTTAAAATTTCAAAGTTTTTTTTTTATTCAAAATTAAATACCCTAATATATTTATAAAATAACTAATTTTAAAAGACAGGTTCCTACTTCTTTTACGTATATTATATATAATAATGATGATACGTGTACTTAATTTTTGTGTACTTAATTTTTAACTAAACGTTTCTAAGTTGTCCATGATTTTACTTTTTTCTATTGTTTACATCTATGATACAATAGGTCAACTACAATGTATTCAATTAAATGCATACTAATAATCATATGAACTATACTAAAATCCAATTATAAGTTATCCCTAGTACGTATATAATATACACTGTATATAGATTACAATATAACTGTGATTAAATGCATGGTGTTTAACGTATCATGTACATACAGCAAACCGTTATCTATTAGCAAACTGCATGTAGAGCACATAATATGTAATAATATTATTACTATTTGATCAGTTTACATTTAAGTTGTGAAATATTTTTGAATTATTGGTGATGTGTGTCTAATAAGGTGTCATACGATGTTTTTATCTTCCATATCATGCATGCTTTGCACTTTTGATTGTAGTTTGATGCATGAAATAAGCGGCGTTAAGCTTCGGCGGCATGGAAAAACAAAAAAAACCATGTCTTGCTATTATGACACCGATGATGAAAGGTAGGTGTTTTTTCTAGCCAAAAATAACCCAGGTTTTCTCATGATAATAACTACCAAGTGTAATTTTTGTATTTGATTTTAACAATGGTTTTTCTCAGTTTATACCTGATGTACTAAATATCTGTTTGTTGTATCTGTGCTATTCAAATTTCTTTGATTTTTCCATCAAACGAGTATCAACTGAGTAAACATAGTGAAATATAAATAAGTAATTTAAAATTTTAATTGAGGTAAAAATATTATAACTACGTTTTCAAAGATTAAAATAATGTAAAATATATTTATGTCCTTCAAAAATTCAATCGATTTTTAATAACTGCCTCGAAATGACTTATGCTATTATCATGCGGTGTTTACTTCCAGGCGATATGATTACAGATTAAATTTATACAATAGTGCATTTAAACAAAAAATCGAATATAGATTTATATTTTAAAATACTTTAGTAGTTTAGAGTTGAGTATAGTTATTCGTAATTAAAAAGACATGTTTTTCCTAATATTGTGTAATTTAATTTGTTTGTCACCGTATAGTAAGAATACACACGTAAATAGATAAAACAGTTAAAGTAATACTAGATTATCCAAGGTGTTATTTAAGAAAAATATTTAATTAATTAATCCATTAATTATACATTAAATCGTGATATCGCGCAACTACAGAAATATATTTTTGTATAGGTCGTAATAAAACTTGCGCAGATATTATGACTTATAGGGATACCGGGATACGATGATCTTCACCTTTCTTTAATAAATAGTGGATTTTCTAAGATTTTTCACTCGGACTGTAGTCTTTTATATTTAGGTTTAAGACTACTGCGTGATATTTTAACTCATCGGTTGTAAGATCTGAGGTATAACACCAGTGGCGTGTTATAAATGCAGATTTTATAGTGCCGCCGACAACTGTCACTCTATAATTGAATAATTACCTCACCGTTACTGTTTTCTCGACGTCGAACAAAATACCAATACGTATTTTTATACAACGTAATTGAGTTGTAAAAATGAAATATATAGTACTCTGTAGAAATTCTTTTGACGGGTATTCTGTATTCTGATAATTTCGTGGAACTTTGATTTTACTAAAATATCATTATCGTCATCATTTTCACCCCCCCCCCCCTTTATCCACTGTTATCAAGGTCTGGAGTGCAGCCGTTGGAAAAAAAAAACGTACAAAAATCGCACTTGTGTTTGAAACCGGTTGTCGTTAAATCTATCGCGACGAAAACGCTTCGGGCGTTCGAGCGTTCAGAAACACAGATTTATAAACATGCACCACATACTGTCGCTGTGTAGTACGTGCAAACGATTCGCTAATACTAATGTTTTTTTTTTTTTTTTTCATCCGTCCGTCCTCTGATCCCGTGCAGCCGAAGACAGTTGCACTATCATTCGCAAAGACGCGACCCCAAGGAATCGGTCGCGCGTCCCAGTTCCAACTATTACGAATACGAGAGCGTGATGCGGTCGCTACCGTACACGAGCGGCGGCGGCGGCGGCGGTGCGTCTCGTCTGGTGGACAACAATTCCAATACGTTGACTAGACAAGGTGAGTTTTCCCCTTCTCCCACCAATCAGCGTACGTACGTATAGAGCCGCCGGTCCGTCCTCCGTTCACTCGCGCTAATGCGCACGTGACGCACGCTCTCACCCGGCTGTTTACGCAGGCGGTGTCACTCCGACGGCTGTGGCTGCAGCGGCCTCCAACAACAGCAGCAGCAGCAACAGCAACAACGCGGGCGGCGGAAACGCTGTTCGCAATCTACAACAACAGCAGCAGCCGTCGTCCCGTCACCACTATCCCGTAGCGGCGGCCAACACCGCTCCACCGTCGAACTACTCGTACGGTTACGACGCGTCCCAAGGCCACAGCGGTGCGCAGAAGCAGCAGCACAGAGGGTCCGCGACCGATGGTAAACACGCCGCCGGTGCTATGTACTATCATCACAATCACCACCAGAAACAACAGCAACGTCAGCAACAGCCGCAGAGGTCCTCGCCGCAGGGTCCGTACATAACCCAGGTCACCATCCGGGACAACCAACACATCATTCAGAGTCCCAACATTTAATTCCGTTTCATCCGGTAAACGTGTTTATGGTTGTTTTTTTCGCACGCCGGGTAACCCGCCGGTGTATCGGGAAAATCTCGCGTTTACGGTGTAAATTTTTTTTTTTTTTTTCACTGATTACGCGTACCGTATTATAATATGTAACTTACCGTTTCCTGATTTACATTTTATAGTTTTTCCTTTCTCATCACTGTTTTTATCCTAAACCGCATCATCACTCATATATGTATATATAGTCATATTTTGTATTGATTACTCCGATACATCGTAACTAACCAATGGTTTCAGTAGTGTTATCTTATTTTATTAATTACAATGCGCTTTTGCATATTTTATTTTTATGTCTTTGAACGATATTTTTATTACTTAATTTACCGTCATTCTTTTTATGCTATACTCGTTTTTAGTTTACCATTATGTATCGTTTGCTTTCCGACCAATACTTTCAGTAGTTCGATTACCTCTCATTCGCGTGGACGCAAAAATTTTCTTTTAAATACATTTTTTCATTATCGATTCCTTTTTAAAAATAGAAATAATATTATTTATAAGTTTAATCATTTTGAATTATGAATGCTTTTTAAAACATATTATTTCAATATAGAAACAAAGAGTATTTAATTTTGTTTGTTAGATATTTTTTAATTTGTTTCGATAAATGTTTATGTTTTAAATTTAATTTTCCTGTGATATCATGTGATTCGACTATTTTATGTAGGTACTTATTATATAAGATGTTATCAATTAAATGAAATTATCACGAGTAACGAGTGCCTTAAATCATCAATGAAATCTATACAAAATATTTTATTATTTTATATTTATATATATATATATATATATATATATATCCTTAATATTTTTATCTTAGACTATCGTTTTAATACTTTTCGTTGTAATAAGGTTCAATAAGTTTTTTTGCATAAAATTGAACATGGGCAACTATTGTTTGAAGTCTTTTTCATTAATATGAAGTTGTAACCAAAACAAAAAATGTATAATCTATAGAGGTATTCCCAATAATTATTTACTGTCAACATCATAAAACATGTATAGTATTATAATTATAATGTGTAATAAAAACTTAATTTGTAGAATATCTGCCGTCCATAAGTAGCATTAGTAGAATATTCTTAGTTTTTGAATAAGTTACTGTTTTGTTTGTGCCATTAAAAAAAAAAAAGTAGTAATATAAAGTCAGTTCCATAAATTCCCTACAAAATTTTTTTTAATTTTTAACTGTATACATAATATTATTATTTATTTATGTTTTTAATTTTGCAATACTACGAGTTGCTCAACTATGTAAATTTAGTACTTAAAAACAAATTATGCATGCAGTATTAACAATGCGTTTTATTATTTTATACCATGTATTGTCTACTCACAGTATTTCTATTATACGTTTTATTATTATTATTAATATTATAATTTTTTTTTTTTTTTTATTATTCATTTTGTATTCACAGTTTACATTTTTTTGTTAAACACTTATTATCTATATTAAATAACATTGTATACTATTCATGTTATTAAGTTCCTGTTAATTGATACGAATCATTTTTAAGTACTGCGCCGAAATTTCTTTTTCGACATTTTTCTCTCTATAATAGCTTAATAAATAGCTATAATATCTAATAAATGTATTATTATACATTATATATATATATATATTACATTTAAGAGCATATATTAGGTATAGTTATATTTTTTCTAACCTTATTGTGACAGATAAATATATTTATTATAATTTTATATAATTTTTAGTATGTATAAGTAGTTAAGTAAAACTATATGATCACTATAAGTATGTTAATATGTACTATATTGAAGTAGATAGCTATTAATTGCACATCAATTAAAAATGAATTGTTACTTATAGAAAATCATTATATATCCAGCTTTATAATAAAGTTAACATTAAGTTTATTATAAATTACATAATATTTTCGTTTTTACTATTACAAATTCTGTGCAAACCATAGATGCACAAACTAACATGCTCTGCTATAGAAAACAAAAGGTATGTAATTCTAAATTATATTTAACCGAGATTAGTGAATACAATTTTGATTGAAGAAAATGGATGATTATTACCTCATAGTAATATGTGAAGAGAATATTAAAGAAATTAATATACAGACAATTAAGTTTATATTTCTAGCTTTTTTCAAAGTCGATCTTATGTATTTAAGGTTGAACAAGCCATTTTTTAAATTTAGTGTAATTGATAATTTTTTTTTTTTTTCTGAGTTGTAGTTAGGTAATTACTGAAGAATAATGTAATAAATTTTCAAAATTTTGTTTTTAAAGAAGTTTAAAATTATGATGAATATCGATTATATTGTGTTTTATATTAAATCCTCTAGGTTCAATAATAGATATTATAGATATTGCACTACTTATAATTATTATGTAGAACATATTGAAAGTCACCTCAGTGGATTTTTCAAATTATTTCCCCCGTTTGATCAGAAAATTAAGTATTAAAAAGTCATTTTTTAAATAGGAGACTTTTTAGACATTTTATACATTTTACATTTATTTATTTATTTATATATTTTACACATTACATTTTATACAAAGCTTATTATTTTAAAAATGTAAAAAATCTCAACGAGATGCCCTTTTAGTAACCCCATAGGTATTACAAGCACGTTGACTGCAAGCATAGTAATCCTATCTGGGTTACGAAACCTTTAGGTAGTGCGAGCACGTCTAAGGTAATACCTTATGGACTACCCGAGGCCTTGGAGACCTCGGCACCCACGAGTCTTTTTTTCTGTTTCCTTATAGTATTTCCGTTTTCCTTATTGTCGACCTTCCAGAAGTAAGTAACGTAGGAGTAGCACTAATATACGAGCACACATACATATACCCTCGTATATATGTATACGTTTGTATACTAGGGTAGAACTAACTTGTGTCTTTGCCTCAACACGTAGTCTATATTTCATTCCTTGCGGCTGAGCCATAGATTACCTTAGTATTTAAATTGTTAGTTTTCATTATACATTTTAGTTGATTTAATAAAGTCTTACATTCATTAAACGTTCGTGTATTTTGTCTCAACCTCTGACGTTTTCCATATACTAGTCAACAGCGAGATCTCCATCATTAAACAATCGTACGAACTCAAGGTCTTTCAGGTCGAGGCTCGTTACACCCTTTTATTAATCCAATTCAGCTTTTCGATTTAAAAAAGGTTGGTTATTAAAAAGTAAGGTGTTATTATAAGCGTACCATTCAAAAATGTACTCTCAGATAATTCATTATTTCATTACGAAGTATAAAATAGAATTATCAGCCTACACCAGTGACGCGCGTCGTAAACATTTCCTTTAATTGACAACTTGTACCTATTATTATCGTAAACGCTTATCTATAATATCTCGGAATATCTATTATATATGTATATTGTATACTTTTTTTAAATACAGTTGACTCTTGGTAACTCGAAGTTTAACTTGAAGGGAAAAAATATTCGACTTACTAAAAATTTTGAGTTATCAAAAACTTTTAAAAAGTATTTTTTTATTTTTAAAAAATGTTTACATTAAAGAAATAAAAAAAAATATATTACTTTCCTACTTACATGTATATTATTTTTAAAGAATTGGTGTAAACTTAATTGTTTTTGTTTATTTAATACATTGTTCTCAATTTTCTCTATTTTCTGAAATACCTAGTATGTACTCGACGTATTTGCTCTTAACAGAAGTGTTACTGTTTCTTTGTTATGTTTTTCACCTGAACAAGATTTCCCTTTAAATATGAATGTTTTTTCAGGTAAACATTTGAAAAATAATCCTATTTCGTCCACATTAAAAATATCGTATGGTGAATAATTTTCTATGGGTTTCGGTAAATTATTCGTGTATAAGGAATATTTCTGTACATAAAAGTGCCCCTTTCACCACAAACTTGTTTAAAAACAACGTTATTTCTGATTTTCCAATTTGTTAACCATCTACTGTTGGATTTAAAATGTTCATGCCCTTACTTATACATAACAAATATAAATATAGTTGGCTATAATGGTCAGATTTTACAATACAAGTCATAAGCGAAAAATAATTGCCTTGATAAACAATTTTTAGTACTAAATTTGGATAAGAAAATTTGAAACGTCGAAAACTCGTCAAATTCATTTTCGAGTTAACAAGACTATTCAAACATTGAGTATTATTGTTATTTGAAGGGGAATTTTAATTATTCGAGATATCAAAAATTTCGAGTTACTGACAGTCGACTGTACTTAAAAGATATGATCAAATTAAGTTTATATTTTTAATGGATCAGTATAGTGATAATATTATTCTGATTAACTATTATTGTCCGGTAATCGTTTGGCGGCGCGCACTTCCCAATCACGACTATTGTGTGCCGGCCGCATTTTAATTACGGTGTATACATCGTCGGTAATGATCGAAAATAGACTTCGTAAAGTTCACCGAGTGAAACAAAGCCTGGTGGAAGGGGAAAAATACGCAGAAACCGTGTCTTCTCTTTTGGAACGGACCATAAGATATGTGAAAAGAAGAAATATCAAAATTATGACTACAATTGGTAAAAAGTACTGTTCTATTTGAAGCATTACGATACATGTTTCTCATAACATAAAAAAGAGGGAGAATGAGTGATGAATATTTTGAAAAAAATGCTTCTTAAATGTAATATAATATTTTGTAACTATTAATTATTAAATAAATAAAACAAAAAAGTTATTAATATGGCTGTTATTTTAATTTTTAATTTGATGATACTTACATATTAAACACTTAACGAAAAAATACTATTTTTATGTGTATTCTAAATACTTTCGAAGAGCATACTCTTATATATAAATGTTTTTTTATTTCTATTTAAATACCTTTTTCAAAGCAATTGTTACAACACTGTCGGTATGTTATAAGTTTTCTTACATAATATGATACCGTTTATGTATAAGCATAAATCAAACTACTAGTTGAACTAAGACATAAACCCGAGTTCAAATCTACTCACTATTTGCTCGGAAATTATATTACAATTTGTAATTGTATAATATAGATCAAGGTAAGAATCTTAATTCATCATTACAACAATAATTATATTATGAAAATTATTTTTATAACATTAATCTGATTTTTAACGTGTTCAATAAGGAGAACAAAATAAAATCCAACTATAATAATTAAAATGAAACATTGTCTTCTGTTATGGTTATTATTCACAATAATTTGATTGGGCATTATTAATTGTAGTTGTAGTAGCATTGGCGGCGGTAGCGAACATTATTTTTCTTCATTCTGTATTTGTAACCATCCAATAGGTATAATAGGAGGCCCTCTTTATAAACAGTGGCTCAATCTCGGCACACTATTTTTTTTCTTTTTTAGGCCTCTGGTACAGACAATAGGAAATGCAGATTGATAACTGAAAGTTTGCTTCGACAATGTGCGATGGTGTCAAGTCGACATTTGTGTCTACACGTATCGGTTGACTAGTGTTTAGTTGTCTAGATTTCTATAGCTTAATAATTAGCACAGGCGAATTTTAGGGGGGAG